ATCTCTATTATCAAATTAAGAATTCCCGGCAGTCTTGGGGTATGCTGAATTTTCACACAATATAGTCGTAAGAGCTGCCCACCTACCCTCCTGCTCTTGAACCTCAGACTTCAAGAGAGGGTTGGTTGCAGGTGATTTATTTGGCATGTGTTACGGGAAGAATGGGGATTGGAATGCAGATGAGCCGAATACGAGATATAAACCGGAGAGAGACTCCTCAACGTCCTCGCGCACGTCATTCCTGTTCCCGATTGGTTCCCACCTCTCTTCTATCAAAGTCCACTTAAATAAACTAGTAACTGTTACAATGGTGATTTGTTCAAATCATGCCAAAACCCTAATTATGCTTGTTAGCTCTTAATGCTTCCATCAAGCAACGATTTTTGGTCTTGATCACACAATAGGCAATCTCGGAATACTGCGGTACTGATATCGACGTTAATCTGTGGCAGCATAGTTGGTGAAATCACGTCCTAAAATATGTTAAACAGATTTAATGCCTTGTTTATATGGCCACTTTTATGGCCGACGGTTCTTTGGTATTCATTTTACTCTCTATTGCTCAAGTAGTCCTTAAAGCCAAGTCAAGGCCAAACTTCTTGCCCTTTCTCCCGAACGCAAGTATCCAACCTTATTTAGTGCTATCTCCTCCAAAATGAGAATCCTCGGGAAGTCATATTAGTGGCAGAGTAAAGAAAACTTGATTGTGTTACGACTTTTAGCTGGGTGCGAATTAGAAGCATGTACTTCAAGAATAAGAATTCTCACTCCTCCAAAATAGGAGGGATGGGGCGGTGTCTACGATTGGTATCATCCCTATTCTCTTTTTTTTACAAACAAGGTATTAAAAACAGGAATGACAGCGCCATGAACAGTTTAAAAATTTCTGGTTTAGCAATTTGGGCCCATGGTTATCGACTGTTACAGTACGCTAGGTCCTCGTCCATACCAAACTGTTTTCGACCCCACTTTCTCTGTCACACATTCTGTTTCAAATAATTATTTCAATGTCTGAACTTCGACACAATTGCAGGTCAATAGAAGTTCCCTACACCAATTTCTACCTTTTGACAGAATGTATCTTTTGATCCAACTGGAGGTGGTGAGAGGGCCATATGCGTTCCCCCAGTCCCATAACAGCTGATGAATGGTGCGCTAGCTCATGGAAGTTTACTTGCAACACCGAATACGTTGTGGTGCCTGGTGTTGAGCGTGTAACGAAGGGATCGCCAGAGATGTCGCTCAGGAAAGGGTGCGGCAATTTAAAGATTCACTTATTCGATAATCTGTACAAATGACGGTCACTTCGCTATTCACATTGTTTTAGGCCGCTTGGGGTCAGCTTTGAGTCAAGTCAAGGCTCAGCGTCTTCCTCCTCATCATTTATGCATCTACACGTTCCAGCCTAATGCCTTCTTCAACCTGACGAGTGTTTCGACAAAGCTCAAAGATTTTGGAAGGACATAGGGTGAAAGTTAGGTGACCACTTTAGCCTTAGGTCCTTGGACTCAAAAGCCAAGTTCTTGACGGTAATCATATTAAAATACTTATGCATTTATGGAGTCTTTGTAGGAGAGAGGCAGTCGGTTAGTTCGACCGCAATCTCCGTTCGTCAGGGGCGTGAGGAGCTATCCTCAGGGTGACATCGTCTTAGCGCCCGTTCAATTCTACACCCAATCCTTTTCTATGTATGCTGCAAATAAACCCTTTTTGACCCAATCCCTCTCACCCAGTTCGAGGTTCAGAGGCCTGGGAATAGACAGACAAGTCCTACAGTAATGCTCTGCTTTTGAAGTTTTATTTGAACCTCTGACACCATTTGGTAAGTCCAGGTATATGTATTCGAGAAGCAAGAAGGGTCAGACTCCACACTGGTCCAGGGACCAGCCTACGCAAACTAATACAAGACAAGAATACGATTAATAACATAAACTCTAAAAATCATATCCAAACATGATAAAGTAATAGAATTAAAACTCCGAAAAGAATAAATTATTTCTACGCAATAAAAGTATGAGTTTTTAGACATTAGCGAGCAGCTTTTAACTTTAAAACTAAATCAGTTAATTTGTTTTGCATGATCTTTTTTGCTTATCTAGGGTTTGGGTGGATCAGGTTTGGGTTGGACATTTAAATTGTCCCAATCGGTCTGGGGCGCGGTTGCGTGCAATGGCTGCGCGCCTTGGATTCAACTTCAATCTTGATTTAGTTCGAGGTCTAAGAGTGCTAAGTACGAAAAGTGTCATGTTCAAATGCGACACAAAGCATAATGCTTTATGGGGAGATGCATATAATGAACTTAGTATTGGGCGTGAAGCTTATGACGCCATCGAACATCTCTCGGACACGTTGGTAAACGATACTTCTCGCTCTGTAGCTGCAAGTTTAACTAAGAAACACCAAAGAGCGCGAGAAAATATTAAGGCCGGGATACTCTATCGTAAAAATTTCAGGTGCTACCTTTCCTAACGTTAACTGAAAACTTAGGGGTCCACCTGAATTGTCAATTCTTACTTCTCGCGCCAGAGAACAGATTGCACATTTATCGGCGACCTCTCCTTCTGAGTGGGATGCGGTATCCGTCTCTGAGAACTTCCCTATTTCCTATCGTGGTGCAGGTTTACTCTTACTGAAACAGAGGAGGAATCCGCGTCGGTTTTTCCGTTCTCTCGATGCTGTCGTAGAATATGACACTCGATCGATTAAAAACTGGCTTACTCTTATCGAAGTTATTTGCACGGCTCAAGTTGGGAACCATGTAAAGGCGAGCGAGTCTCAGATAATGCAAGTTTTGAGTTCTCGTCTGCCCGATGGGCTGCGTTGGATTGGGGTTGAGAACGTCTTGAACAAACTAGCCTTTGCAGATGGAAATCCAGCCCTTCCCCATCCTCCTCAAACCTCTGTTGAAGCTGTCAATTTCGTCAAGTCGCAGCATCAAGCAGGCTACTTCCAACGAATTGCTGAAAGTTTTTACAAACCCATTGAAACATCCAGTGAATCAGTTAGTTTACGAGAGCAGCAAGTGTCTGTCATTAATAAGCTCATTCCTCTTTTCAAACACATGGACTTTTCCGTGTTTACTCAACCTCTGATGGAGGACACTTCACTGACTTTCAGAACAGTTTGTCGTAATTGGTTGTGCATTGATCCTGAACCGTTGCAACTGGATAGGTCTAGGTCGCCAAGAACTAGGTCGAAAGTCGACTGTGATTTTACGAAAGTCTTTCGATACAAGCGAATTTGTACATAAATAATATGAATAAATTAATTGTACAGAGCTTTCCTTCTGTGTTCTTACCTATAACCCATAACTAGATGACTGGCCCGTCTGCCTTCAGGACCTTTCAATCGGATCATTGATCGAGGAGTCTGTATTGTCTTCCACAGAGGGCAGCGGTTATCATCACTCACTCTTAGAAAGCACAATTTCGGGGCTAAGCCTTCAAGTTCCGGCGTCCACGAGCCAGTGCTTGAGTGTGCTACCACCAATTGACACCTTCAGTCACCAGGTGACATGAGTTATTGACATTATAGTTTTCTTGTCCTGTGTTAATAATGCACCGTATTTATAGGAAGTTGATGTGAGATTCACTAGGCAGGAGGGAAGCAAACGTGGTATGAGACCCAAAAACGTATGTGGTTCTGGTCGAATTCTCGTAATTTATTTTGCCACCATTGAAATAACACGGGCTTTCTGCACTTTTAGCGACGTAACCATACTCAGGAAGGCATTCAAAAACGAGCCAAATCCCTTTCTATTTCTAAAAGCAGCAGTACTCGTGATAAGCGTAGATTCCTCTGCCCCATGTCTTCATGTGTTCGAGCAAGACCGGAAACAGCGTTTAAACGACGGTAAGGTTGAGTCATTTGCCGTGCCTCATGATAGTTTTCTTCCTCTGTTTCCACATGTGTTGATCTACCATTGAACCATGGTTTTTTATGGGGTCTTGAGGCATTAAAGCTCATCACATTCACCGTTTTTTTTATTATTATTTTGGACGGATTGCCATTTAAGTATGCTTGATGCTGGTTAAATCAAGTATGAACTTGCATTAGAATGAGTATTTTAATTCACGTTAGTCAGTGCTTTGGTAATACTTTGAACTTTGGACATTTTTACTGTCAATTCCCCTTAAGAATTTCCGTGGGGACGCATACTTTTGGTTAATTCATTACGTGTTGCCTCATTTGTTGTAGTACACATTGTTTTGCTAGTTCGAAAAGAGCATTCTTGATGCAGCTCTAACTTAGTCATTATGCATCTGTGACTTTGCTACCTACATATTACGAGGTCATCGGATTTGGTTTGTCTTTATGTCCCTTTCAATAGGTACCTCATGCAAGAGCACTTGAATTTTCACAGGGGAGAAAAGCCTTTCTGCTGTGATCGCTGCTCCCATCGGTTTACCTCAAGGCAAAACCTTGCACGTCATCGCCTCATTCACGCTGGTATGATCACCGTAGCAAGAAATGCTCCTGTCCTTCCATTGATCACCTCTTCCTGCTTGAAATCTTTTCCCCTTATTCTCTTCATGATTTGCTTAACTTAGAGATAATTTCGTAGTAGTCATAGCGTAGCCAACTAGGCAAACATAAAACGCTAATTTCTCAAAATGTCAAGGATTTATAATGTCTTTTGAATTATATAAAGTTTTATAAGGTTGAGAGACAGCTAACCTCCCCCCACTTGTGTCTCCAACCCCATTTTATTACCTAATTTATTTGTTGTTGTATTCATATTCATTCTTCATGTGTTCTTAGGCGTAACCTACACCTGTTCCGAGTGTCGTCATGTTTTCCTCAGATCCTCTGATCGCTCCAAATGCTTGCGAAATCACAAGCTACAACGAATCATTTCGGACCAGGTAATAAATAGCAGTCCTTGCGTTGGTTACATCTTTTCCTTCAAGAAAATTGTTCCTCCTCGAAGGTGAACCTTCAATGTCTTAGCGCTTCTGTGCTCTCATAATGGTTTTTCAGATATAACAGTTTTATTTAAATCTCACACCTTTATAGAAGTTCAGTTGGTGTAAAAGCCTTTCTTCTACTGCAACTTATTCATTAGGCCTTAAATTCCACACTAGATGAACTGAAACTTTTGATGGTTCACGAGCTACTCTGCTAGATGTTAGTACTTTCAGTTGGTTCCTCTTTCAGGGAGTGAATGCTATTCCGGCTCCCGCATCTGTGTCTAAGGCTATGTCGGTTTCTTTTCCCACCATCGTCAATGGCCCTTACGTATGTCCAGTATGTCCGGATCAGCGGGGATATAAATTGGACTCCTCTTTGCGAAAGCACATGCGTCTCCACCATCCCAACTACAGGCGAACCACGAATGTTCAAGTCTCACGAATAGACGAGACCTCCCCGAAATTGGTCACCCAGACCGTTGCAGACTCTCAACGAGTAATGTTTTCCATTTTATGGAAAATTGTATGCCACAATGTCGCAGCTGACTGCCCCTCTATCAATCGAAACAGGAACTAAATCAGAAGGCCTCAATAGCATAACCTAATTACAGTAATTGAATGGCTCTGTCTAACGACTTCTTGTTACTTCAATTCGGATTCCCTTTTCATTGTAACTGTTTTTGTTTGACAGTCGAGTTCGCGCTGTGCTTGTATTGCATGCTTTGCTGGACTGTCATTTTGCGTAAATCATCGTGAAGGTCAAGTGGACATTTCAAAGCAAATGTCTCAGAGAGCAAACCGGTTTGTGATTGCGGATTTTGGAGGTGTGATGTAACTTAGGACAACCATCAAGATATCTCAATGCAAGTCTAAAGCCGTGATTTTGCCATTGCAATCGCATGACTTTTAAAATCGAATTGTTTTTTGTCATAAAGCTACCCACAACCGACACACGATGGGCGTTTGCATGATTTATGTTCAACAACGCCTTTGTTAGT